GTTTTGCCATGTGAACTGTCTGAAATGAATTTATTGTACCTAACATAAAATAATATAATATATGATTGAATGATCATGAATTTGTTCGAATACCATTCAAATTAAGCTTACCCATATGAACAACAAAATTTGTATATACTATTTATTGGGACCTCCCAACCAACAGATTAGCTGGTTTATGGCAATTTTTCATGTGCCAATATAATTGTATATCCCAGTGTTGTCTGAATCAAACATGCCAGCTCTGCTGCCCACTCCTCACTTGCAGTACTTCATAATTGCCTAAAAGATTCTCCCTTTTTCGAAAACCTGAATACCACCATTCCGAATGTCAATCACCATAAATAGTGTACACAACACAGGATCATGGTGGCCTGCTGCTAGCTAATTCTACTTGGCCCACTCATAAACTTGTCTTTATATGCATACATATTTATTATTTATTTAAAACGCTTGTGTTGACTTGTCTCTGGAACATAACCTTTCACATGTCTTATAATTCTTTTGATAGAGCTGTAATTACCTTTACAAACAAAAATTGGTTAATACCTAAGCTAACTATTTTACTCAATTTATCAGTTCAATTAATGGTCACAATCTGTGAACCAATCAGATTGGAAAAACGTCTCTTGATTTATTAAAAATATGGTGTTAAGTTAAGCATTTGTTAACAATACTGGGATCTTGCCAAAATTTAAAGGTGAAAACCGTGATCTCATAATATATGTACAATTGGACTCACTAAGCATAAAATGGCCCAATTAAAATTTCCTTATAGGCCCATATAAGGAAATTTTAATTGGGCTTGTCAAGTATGTCCATTAACCCATGACATTGTGAGGCTGTCGGTTGAGACTTGAGACTCAAGAGAGGTCCCCAGAATAATAAATATAAAAAACGGGGACAAATCAGTAAATCTGGAAAATTCCTCTCCGTCATTCTTTAAACCGCTCCTGCTACATAATTTAACCTAGCCTCCCTTCACAATCTCCTTTCTAGGATTTTTTTTTCTTTTTTTTAAAAAAAAAAAAAAAAAAACTATATCTTCACTCGAGTTCTAAGCAGTTGGGTGTCATAAGGGTTTGGATGGGAACGGAGAGGAAGAGGAAGGTGAGCTTGTTTGATGTGGTAGACGAGACATCGGTCTCAGCGAAGTTAGCCAAATCAAACGGTGCTGGAGCCACGATGAACAATAACAATAGTTTGATTAATCGATGGAATGGGAAGCCTTACTCGCAGAGGTATTACGAGATACTGGAGAAGCGTGCAACTTTGCCCGTCTGGCATCAGAAGGAGGATTTTTTGCAGGTCTTGAAAGCCAATCAAGTTCTGATATTGGTCGGTGAGACTGGTAGTGGGAAAACTACTCAGGTTAGTCTGGAATTTTTTTCCACAAAACGACACGGAACAATACCGACAAATGATGTTTTAGCTAATGCTTTCTTTTACTTTCACTTGATGTTCGTTTAATGTTTTGGATTATGATTTGATACTTATAAGTTATTAATTTATTTGATGTATCAATGGTAACTTCTATATTTAATGAAATACCGTCTATTGAAGCAGCATAGGGGATAAACATCTTTACTTTTGAGTTACATATATACCTTTAACTAGTTATTTCATGCATTGGCAAATGTTGTAGACCTCATATTTATCCATGAGCTTTAGGAAGCAAAAAATATTTAGAGTTTGGGATACTTTTACAAAATTGCAAATGTGCAGTGTTGGAAGCTATTCATGTGAATTTGAACATATTTGAAATAATATTAAATGAAGTTGTTTGAGTGGCTAAGTTAGAATTGTTTCTTCGCTACAGATTCCTCAGTTTGTATTGGAAGCTGTTGATATAGAAACCCCTGATAGACGTAGGAAGATGATGGTTGCGTGCACCCAGCCTCGTAGAGTGGCTGCAATGTCTGTTTCTCGGCGTGTTGCAGAAGAAATGGATGTAGCTATTGGAGAAGAGGTTGGTTATAGCATCCGTTTTGAAGATGTCAGCAGTGCAAGAACAGTTTTGAAGTAAGTTCTTTGTACCCACACAAGTCCTTTTATATTTGTGGTGCTGTTTAACTTAATTGTCTTCTACTTTTCATTTTTTAGGGGAACTTTTACTGGTGTGGCAATTTTATTTATGTTTTTGCTGTTTTGCTTGGCAGGTATCTAACAGATGGTATGCTTTTAAGAGAGGCAATGACTGATCCGCTTTTGGAACGATACAAAGTAATTATTCTTGATGAGGCTCATGAAAGGACGTTGGCCACAGATGTGCTATTTGGTCTTTTGAAAGAAGTGTTGAAAAATAGGCCTGATCTGAAACTAGTTGTCATGAGTGCAACTCTTGAGGCTGAAAAGTTCCAGGGTTATTTTAATAGTGCACCACTCATGAAGGTTCCTGGTAGGCTTCATCCAGTGGAAATTTTCTATACTCAGGAACCGGAGAGGGACTATCTGGAGGCAGCTATTCGAACAGTTGTGCAGATACACATGTGTGAACCTCCAGGGGACATACTTGTTTTTCTAACTGGAGAGGAGGAAATTGAAGATGCATGCCGCAAAATATCTAAGGAGGTTGCTAATTTGGGTGACCAAGTGGGCCCTGTAAAAGCAGTGCCTCTGTATTCCACTCTTCCTCCAGCTATGCAGCAGAAAATATTTGAACCTGCTCCACCTCCACTTAAAGAAGGGGGACCTCCTGGAAGGAAGATTGTAGTCTCTACAAACATCGCAGAAACTTCTTTGACCATAGATGGAATAGTTTATGTGATTGATCCAGGGTTTGCTAAACAAAAGGTTTATAATCCACGAGTGCGCGTGGAGTCCTTATTGGTATCTCCAATATCAAAAGCAAGTGCACATCAGCGATCTGGGCGTGCTGGAAGAACTCAACCGGGTAAATGTTTTCGTCTCTACACTGAGAAAAGTTTCAATAATGATCTTCAGCCACAGACCTATCCAGAAATATTGCGATCAAACCTAGCAAATACAGTGCTTACCTTGAAGAAACTGGGCATAGATGACCTGGTACATTTTGATTTTATGGACCCCCCTGCTCCTGAGACACTGATGCGAGCATTAGAAGTGTTAAATTACTTGGGAGCACTTGATGATGATGGATACTTGACAGATCTTGGGGAAAAGATGAGTGAATTTCCATTAGATCCTCAGATGTCAAAGATGCTTGTTGAGAGTCCAAGATACAACTGCTCGAATGAAATTCTTTCAGTTTCTGCCATGCTTTCAGGTATTGTTGCTTTTCATTCTTCTTATTTTGCGTCTGTCTTGAGTCTGGTCTTTAAAAGGTTAGGAGGTGCTGCTAGGATGCCTCATCCTTGAAAGCATCTCTATCTGTCCAGCATGTGTGCAGACACTGGCTCTGCATGATGTTAGATTTTTAACTGCTTTCATGTGTATCTAGATATACATGCTTGCAGTTAAATATGTTGAGTGTCTAGTTAGGTTGTCATCAGCAACTGTCTTGTCTGGGATCCATGCCCCCGGTTGGCATGCACCATAGGATTCTAAGTAAGTGCTGATGCAGATAGTTGCAGTTTCTCAGTATTCTCTCATGAAGCAAATGGTGTCGTCCGCCTCTATGCATCTGCTGACCTACCGTGGGCCTCTTCTGTGATAACCAAATATTCTTTCTTTAGTACCCAATTGCTTTGTCCGGCCTAGGGAGGCTCAGAAGGCTGCAGATGAAGCAAAAGCTAGGTTTGGGCACATCGACGGGGATCACCTGACGCTCTTAAACGTATACCATGCTTACAAGCAAAACAGTAAGTACTTTTTTTATTTGTTCTCTTTTTCTTAATGAGTTTATTATCCGTATATTAGATGCTAATTTTGCTTTTTTATTTGTAAATGGGTTGCAGACGAGGATCCATCTTGGTGCTATGAAAATTTTGTCAATCACAGGGCATTGAAGGCTGCTGATAATGTTAGACAACAGCTGGTTCGCATCATGTCACGGTTCAACCTCAAGTTATGCAGCACTGATTTTAATAGCCGGGACTACTATGTCAACATCAGAAAGGCTATGCTATCTGGATATTTCATGCAAGTAGCTCACCTGGAACGCACTGGACACTATTTGACAGTTAAAGATAACCATGTATGTGTTTTTTTTTTTCAGTAAATTATTTAATAAATGTTGCACATTTAGAGTTTGGTCCTTTTTATTTGTTTTCTTTATTAATCTTTGCTTTTCACACTGATTCCATGTTTATTTTTATTTTAGGATATGGTAATAATGTATTAAAAAGTTGTTTTCCATTTCGCACTTTTCAGGTGGTACATTTGCATCCATCAAATTGCCTGGATCACAAGCCAGAGTGGGTCATCTATAATGAATATGTTCTTACCAGTCGGAATTTTATCCGTACAGTTACGGATGTTCGTGGTGAATGGTGAGTTTTGTGTTGTTAACCGTGTTATTGGTCCTTCCCTTGTCCTGGTCATTGATTTTTGCCAAATCTTATGACTCATTCCATTTGAAACTTATAAACTATTTTAATAAATAAATCGAGTTTGGTGATAGTTTATGATGATGTCGCTCAATAAGCAAAATCTGTTTTGACTGCAGGCTAATTGATATAGCACCACACTACTACGATCTTACAAACTTTCCCCAATGTGAGGCCAAACGTGTTCTTGAGAAGCTTTACAGGAAGCGGGAGAAGGAGAGGGAGAACCGAAAATGAAAGTATGAATATTATTGTATTCCAAGATGAGATGGGAGTCGTGTTTTGAGAGCTATATAATATATTAATTATATGACCTGTAGAAGAACTTGTTAAATTCTATGTACCATTTCCTACAATTGGGAGATCCTACTGACCTTTTCATTTGTAGAATCAGCCCTTCAGTTTGTTTTTTGGGATATGATTGGAGTTCAATTGTTTTTCATCATTTGGTTATGACTCAGCTCATTATGTTCTGTGGTTCAGTGATTTATTCGCCTCTATATTTATAAAAAAAGAATATTCGGGACATGCATGAGAAAGTAAGACTTCATTACTTTGGTAATTTTATTACAAGCACCAATAGAATGCAAGTAAAAAGTATGACTTCGCAAATAGTAGATGCGATGTCGCATTCTCCTTGGAATGGAGCAGTGCGCATTGGTGTTCTACATTTCAAGAAAAGGAGATTCGACCCAACTACCTGCCTTCTGCTTGCGAACGCGCTTCTCATTCAGCATTTTTCTCAACTTAACAACAATATTCCATGCCCCGTTTTCACCATGAATCCTGGTCAGCATTGAATACACTGCAGGGTGGTCTTTTTCAAGTCGGGAAATTCCCTCTGCAGCCAACTCCCCCAGCTTTATATTTGAATGAAGGCCACAACCTCCAAGTAATGCACCCCAAATTACCACGTCACCCTCAAATGGCATTTCTTTTATCAATTTCTCTGCTTTGTCCAGTTGACCAGCTCTGCCATAGAGGTCCACCATACAAGCATAATGCTCTGCCTCAGCTTGGATTCCATGCTTTGTCTCCATGGAATCAAAGTGTTTTTCACCTTCTTCAACTAAACCTCCATGTCCACATGCAGATAACAAATTAACAAATGTAACTTCATCTGGCTTAACACCCATTTTTTTCATTCTCTCAAACTCCTCCAATGCTCTTTTTCCAAGCCCATGCCTGCCATAACCTCCTATCATTGAATTCCATGATGGCAAATTCTTCCTCTGCATCGACTCGAAAACATAGAATGCTGCATCTATGTCCCCACATTTTGCTTACATATCAACAAGCGATGTAGACAAAATCACGTCCTCCGGGATACCAAACTTCATAATGCTTGAATGAACTTGCTGTCCCACAAGAAGAGAACAACAACCTGCACAAGCATCCAACACACTTGAATACGTAAACTTATTAGGCATTGTATCCGATTTCACCATCAAGACAAACAGCTTCAATGCATCAACAAATCTTTCACTTTGTACATACCCCATAGCCACATATCGAAAATCGAGGAGCCAAGAGTACCACCATGACATTGTGGTCATGTTGGGTATGCACAACAACATTAGAGCAAGTTAATAGCAGTTCCTGATAACCAACATGACCACAAATGTCACACAGCCAAACTGCCGAAGCAACAGCAACAGGCGACACTCATTGACATCAAGGAAAACACACGCACAGACTACAACATTTACAAAAACACCTTTAAACAGTAACCTAAAAAAAAGTATGTTAGTAAAAGTACTATTACACCACAAACAAAAGGCAGAATTTCCAACCATTTATAGCATAAATATTCCATTATTACTCCAATCTTAATTGATAACCATCGGTTCCTTTTTGTTTCCTCACTGGAGATAACTATCTACACCAATCATTTAGATGAGCTTTTTTCATTTTGCAAGACAAATTGTGTGACATTTGTGGTCATATTGGTTATGCACAACAACATTTGGAGCAAAATAATAGCAGTTCCTGATAATTCCAACATGACCACAAATGTCACATAGGCCAAACTGCAGAAGCCATAGCAACAGGCACACAATCGCCAAACACTCCGTGGGCATCAAGGAACACACACTGCACAAACTACAACATCTACAAAAACACCTTTAAACAATAACTAAAAAAAGTGGTTAGTAAAAGTACTATACCCAAAACAGAAGGCAGAATTTCCAACCATTTTTAGCATAACTATTCCATAGTTACTCCAATCTGCAATTTCCTTTACACCATTAATTGGGTTGATATTAAATAGAGAGAAGAGAGACTAACCATAGCCAAGGAGCTCAGATTGTCAAAAACTGAAAACAAAACAAAATATACAAATCTTAGAAGACTAAATTACATTGAAGCAATGGTGCATATTCCTTTAGAAAACGATTAATTTAGTACTATAACATACATCAATGGAGTCGTTGCCGGTTGCCCTGCACTTACCACTTGGAAGTAAATGTGGCAGTCGAAAAAACATACTTTGACAAGGAACTCAACCGTGCAACTCGGGGTGCAAATGACAGTAGAGAGGGATACGCGAGAAAGGTCGGCTTGGCTACATCGGCGAAATTGATATTTTTCCAATATCACAAAATAGGGGAAAAAGAAGTTAGATGCCAAGGAATTCGTGTATAAATTCCTTCTTTCCAATAATAAGAGACATTAAAAATAGAAACTCATAAAAGAAAAGCACAATAATGACTCCCAACACCTCAGACTTACAACATTCTGTTTGGTTTGTTCTTGCCCAAATACATATTTTATTGCTTAGGTGGTTGAAGCTAATTTCTGTTTTATTCCCCCAATTTTAGCTTGTTAATATCATTCAATGCATCTTCAAGCATCTTAGCTCTCTCATCACAGTATCCCTTTGCTGTGAACTGTTTGGACCGTACCTCCAAAGCTTCGCATCTCTCTGCTAAAGCTAGAAAATAGTGATGGAGCTAAAGCTACCCATGCCAGCCCACCCGCTACACTTTTTTCTCTCATATCCTTGACATACGTCATATCACCACAACCCTAATAATTGAAAGTAAAAGTGAATCAAATTCAATCATGCAGGAAAAAAAACAAAAATATTGTTAATATATATTAACATCCGTATCATTTGATTCTCATTTCCTCGTACAAATGATAGTAATGCTTACTGTACAAAAATAATAGTGTTTTTCCAATGGTCTTCCTTTATTTTAAACCATAAGGCTCTACTTTTCCACAAGATTCACAAAGGAGAGGATGCGTTTTCACACAAAAGATAAAAAAAATGTCAATCTTAACATATTAGTCATAAGCATATTGTGGTAAGGAAGAGAATGAAGAGATGAGTCTTACTCCTTCCAACCATTTCTTTCTTCTATAAATGCTTCAAAAGTAACGACAACATCATAATTTAAATAGATAGAACAATGCACAACATTTGAAACTCCTTGAACTTGAGATTTGCATTCATCCCAACTTTTTATATGTCAGCCTCACGCCTAACATAAACTACGTAAAGTTTACCCATCTGCACAAAAAAAAAAAAAAAAAAAAAAAAAAAAAAAAAAAAAAGAGAGAGATTGAACAGGCGCAACAAAATAAGGGAAAGAAAAAACAAAACATAGGCTCATGGGTGACATTTTTTAAAGTTGACATTTTTGTGGAAAAAACGAAAAAGATTGGAAAGAAAATAGATACTTCTCATCTTTAAAGTTCCATAGTAGTCAAAAGATTTACCTTTTAACCGCAATAGTGATAAATTTCATAAAAATGCAGGTTAAGTTCCATGTTAATGTTATTCTAGATAACCAATTTAATGAAATCCACACAACTCTATCAATCAGATAATGACAAAAGCCAATATTGCTAGCTAATACAAGAAGACAATAATAAAGTGTAAAATAGCCAGACTTAAAATGTAGAGTATGGATTTGTAATTGAAGAAAAACTAGAAATGTGAAAGCTGAAGTTTTAGAAGAAAAATGATGGATGGGTTAAAGTGTAAACAATCAGATAGGCAGACAGTTGTGGAATTCAAACCAGAGGTTGGAACACACTGAAGAAAAAGAAGAAGTTGAAAAACTTTGGAATCACTTCACCAAAAACCTTCTTTGTCTATTCAGTAAACAACAATTATATATGGTCAACCCACCATCTCACGCCACTCTCACCATCATCTCAGTTTTATAGACACAATACATTGCAATTCTACAACCCCATTCAATGAATGTTAACTCCTCTTTAATGGCATTAAACATCACATTATGATATTTTAATTGAATTTGGTAATATTTATGTGTGTGTGTGTGGGTGTGTTGTGTGTGTGTGTGGGTGTGTGTGTGTTTCGGAGTTGAAAGCAACATTGTGTCATAAATTTTATAATAAAATTTGTAATAAGTTTGATAATTACCACAGACGACAGGAGACAGAACATAGAAAAAAAGGTGAAGCGGTGAAGGAGACGACCAAAGACGAAGGTGGACGGCGTTTGGCAGCAGAGACATCATCAGCGCTCCTTTGCGATTGATTTGTGAAGATCTAGTTTGTGAAATGGGTTTTTTTTTAAGTAGGGATTTGCAGGATGTGTTCTTCAGTTTCTGATTTATGATTTTTAACTTTGATTGTGAATGAGACACAGTGATGGCGTGAATCTAGATTCAAAGTGTGTCTGTTGATTTCGAAATTTAGGGATTTAAGAAAAATCCCCAAATGGAGTTTTAGGTTATATGAGTTAAGGGGTGCAATTGTCTATTTTTAAACTTGAAAACAACTATGACCCCCAGAACTCTGAAAAATCACAAAAAACCCCTTTTAGCTTGTTGAAGCTCACGAGCCGAGCCACACCGGATCGAACTTGGCTCAGCTTGTTTCATGAGTTGCTCGAGCTTGAATTCTGCTTGAGTTGCTGTAAGCCGAATTCGAGTTTTTTGCAAGCAAGCCCAAGTGGGTCGCAAGCGACTTAAATCTCATACTAAATGGACCCGTACCCTATATTATTGGATAATTAGGCTTACAAGACCTTACAAAGAATCCCTTACAAAGTGGACATGGCATGTTCCACTTCAACAAACACATCACTTATATGCCACGTCACTTTCCCTCGAAATTAAAAAAAAAAATTCAAGAACTCTAAATTCAAAATTTTCAAAAACTAAATCAATTTTGATTTCCCAAAATTAAAACCCTCCATGGCTGCCACAACCACGCCTCTAAAATTTTTTCTCTGAAAATATTCTCACCTCCGTGACTGCCACAACCACCACCTCTACCACCATCAGCGCCATTATCGCCTCTAAAATTCTATGTATGTGGATGTATATTGAAATTCAGAACTGGTAATGATGAGTTCTAGTGACATATAATTTAAATTACTGATTAAAGTAAATCCATTAACAGTTGGTATTCTTGATTTTTTTATCGGAAATTTTAGTTGAGCTTGAAAATGACCCTTTTTTGCTTTATATCATATGGATGGAGCTCATTTCTAAAATGTGAAATCCTTTATTGTGGAGTATTAAGATTCTTGGTAGAAAAGGTATGTTGTTTGTATTATTTAATTAAATTCTAAACATCCATACGAGGCTTTATTTTTTATGTTGTTCTTTCCTCCTATGTGACTTTGTGGTCATTTATCATCAGATTTTTGATGAGATTGAGCATGTTGTTACCTAACATTTGGATTGATTAGTCGAAAAATAAAACGCTAAAAAAATAGTCCTCGATTCACCCAAATCAAGATCCATTACCAGCTAAAAAACTGAGTAAAACGGGGGGTACGAGCCTATGTGATTTTGTGGTCATTTATCATCAGATTTTAATTAGATCAAGCATATTGTTTACCTAACTCATTATTGATTAGACGAAAAAGAAAAGCTTCAAAAATAGTCCTCGATTCGCCACAATCGAGATCCATTATTGGCTAAAAAACTAAGTAAAACGGGATATCAGGCTTATGCGGCTTTTTGCTCGTTTTATTGTCAGATTTGGGAAAAAATCGAGTATGCTGTTTACCTAACATTAGTATTGATTAGACAGAAAACAAAAACGCCCAAAAATAGTCCTTGATTCACCACAATAGAGATCCATTACCGGTTAAAAAAACTGAGTAAAACGAGGTATCGAGCCTATGCAACTTTTTGCTCTCAATTATGATTTCCCAAAATTAAAAACTCTCCATGGCTACCACAACCACAACTCTAAAATTTTTCCTCTAAAAATATTCTTCACCTCCATGGCTGCCACAACCACTCTCTACCACCATTGGCGCCGTTATCGCCTCAAAAATTATGTAGTCGGTGATAATATATTGAAATTCAGAATGGTAATGATGAGTTATAGTGACAGATAATATTGAAATTGATCTTGATTAAAGTAAATCCATTGGTAGTTGGTTGTCTTGTATCTTTGATTTAAAAATTAGTTGAGCTTGAAGCTGACCCTTTTCTGCTTCATATCATATGGATGGAGCTTATTTCTAAAATACGAA